TTACTTCGACTTGCAACCAACTCGACTTGCGATCAGAGTCACGGAACGGATTAAGTTCGTAAGTAGAGGTACCACTGTATTTATCTTTTTAAACTAGGCCAAAGTGGGGTGAGTTTTAGCCTATTGTGGAATCTCAGCCATGTCTTCACATGTCATCTGAACCTCAGTATCATGTTTAGTCATCATATGGGTTAAATTATTGGGACAGCACATTACAAGATACTTTTTCTTAACTGCTTCCTGTTTTCTGTGAATCCAGCCATAGTGGATTTTTATGATCTGGTTTTAGCTCCTAGAGCTCCATGATGTTTTATATCAAAACTTCATTTACAGTTATGACTTTCCATTGTGCCAGAAAACAGTGATTTGACTTTTTCTGAGTAAATTAGTAACAGTCCAGCAGGAGCCAGGCTCTCATTTTCACATAATAATAGAGCATGTCTGTCAGAGGTTTAAATTCAGCGTCTTCCTTTCCCAGCGGAGACATGGGAACTGTAGTTGGGAGAAGAAGTAATGGTAAATGCCTATAATAATAGAGAATTTCATCAAACCATGGAGACTGGCCAGCTTTCCTTTGGCATGAGGGCTGCTTGTGAATGCCTTTAGATGGCTGGCCGCCTGTGTTTGTGTGTGTGTTTTTTGTTCTTTTTTTATGATTAAAAATTCCCTTGAATTGGACTGCTGATGACTTCATGGACGCACCCATGCAGGTTTCTTGGCAGCAATATGGAAGTTGTCCGTGCCTTTTTCCTGAATTTTTGCTTACAGCATTTCCAGATAGCTGGCCATTAACAATGGGGAGCTAAGAAACCACAGACAGAGATTTCCCATTTCTGAACTTAAGGCCAACAGTGAGCACAATGGGCATCAATGTGGCCTTGCTTCCCCCGGCTCCTATTCCATCTGAATTTCACTTTTAGGTTCTTGTAATTAAAACAATGCATCAGGAGAAAGCTGGCCTATTGCAAAGCCAAGAGCCATTCCACAAGCCCTATATTCCAAAATATGAAATCATTCGGGGACACCTATTCCCCTCACTTACTGTTCCCCTCACTTACTGTTAAGAATTCCACCTCAGTGCAGTGACCAAATTTCAGGAAAATCATCTCTGCGGGGGGAAATCTTTTGAATTTTTTTCCAATCAAGCAGCTGCTTAATGACCAAACCCTTCTTTAATTTTTAAACGGAACTTCAAGAATTCCCCATGCTTAACATTTGAGCATGTTAAAAGCCTTGGAATTGGTCCAGTCAGCACCCAAGTTGAAAGGAGTTCACAATCCATACCTGGCACCTTCATCCTTTCTTCATTTCAGCAACAATAAGCATTTTGTTATTGAAATGTTGGAAGTCAGAAAGCCTTGCTAATCTATTCCAAACTATGCAGAGATCTGTGAACTCAACTCAACTCAAAAATTTATTTACAGTCCAAGACCAAACATGATGTATAAATAAATCCTAAATTTATTCTGCATTTATTCTGCTAAATTGATGAGGGAAAAAAAGAAGGAAAGAAGGAGGGAGGGAGGGAGGGAGGGAGGGAGGAAGGAAGGAAGGAAGGAAGGAAGGAAGGAAGGAAGGAAGGAAGGAGCGGAATGAAGGAACAAAGGAAGGAACAAAGGAAGGGAGGCAGGAAGGATCCTAGAACCCCAGAAAAGGCAAAACGAAGTGATAATGCATAAAAGAAAATAATTCATAGGTGGATTTAAGGAAAATGCCTTAGAAAGCATACTATGCTGGTGCCGTGTCATCTCCAGTGTCTTCCAATCCACCTCTTGCCTTAATTAAGGTACTTTTACTAATCTCTAAGCTGTTCATAAATCAGGGAAAGTATTTATCTTAGCATCTTTTCCAACCAACAGATTTTATTACAAGGAATAAAGTTTTGTGAGCAGTAGCTTACACTTTACGCCTTCTAATAAAACTTGTTAGTCAGAAAAGATGCTATCAAACTCCTTCTGATTTTTGGCTACTGCAGACCAATGTTTCTCAGCCTCGGCAACTTCACACTGTGTGGACTTCAACTCCCAGAATCCCCCAGACAGCTGGCTGGGGGATTCTGGGAATTGAAGTCCTCACAGCTCAAAGTTGCCAAGCTTGAGAAACACTGCTGTAGGTCAATCCAGCTCTCCTCCTACAATCTCTAAACCCTTCAAAACAGGATTTGAAGAAGTGCCTTCTTCTGCTTATCAGAGGCTATCCAAGAGCAGGACAGGGGATGGGGCTATTCCCTCTTTTTTTAAAACTGAGGTTGCGGTAATCATTCTGACAGTCTTTCTGCAGTCTAGTTGCCCATGTATTGCTTTTAATCACACGACTTACTTGTTTCACTTAGGGTTTGTGTGTGTGTGTGTGTGTGTGTGTGTGTAAATTATACGCTGTTGCCAGTTTTAATTTACATTTTTGTAGGTGCAGGTTTCTGTTTGTCAGACCCCCTGGGAAATCTTGGATATTGCAGAGTGCTCGGTTGAACCAAGAGATCAAACTTGGACAGAATAAGGAATGGGAGACCAAAGGTGCATGCTAAAAAGGAAGGAGAAGTTAGGGGAAGCAAGTTGCTGGGTTCGCCCCCTCTTACCGGCAATAGTTGTGATCACCCAGCCCCAACTTCAGGGCATCTGGACGCCCTGCATGGAACTGCTTGGAGGTCAAGGCGTTGATCTTCCAGTTCACGCACTCAGCCCCGCTCTCCGTTGTGCTCCATGTCCCCCTGTATGTGTGTCCTATATCTTGGTAACACAGAGCTCTGGTATCTGAATGGGGAAATAGAAACATTCATCTGAGTCTCTTCAAGCTGCCTCTGGAAAAAGCTCCAGATACCTTCTGAAGCCAGTGCAGAAAACTTAGACCAGTGTTTCTCAGCCAGGCTGGCTGGGGAATTCTGGGAGTTGAAGTCCACACATCTTCAAGTAGCCAAGGTTGAGAAACACTGACTTAGACTGTAGAGCTTGCATGGAACTGATGCCACCCTGCTGTTTTCCTTGTTTTTCCAAGCATGAGACCCTTGATGGGAAGCAATCAATTCACGGCCTCCACCATAGCTGTAGTTGGATGTAGAGCCTCCTCTTCTTCTTCCTCCCTTATCACACACCACCGGTATAACGTTGTGGCTGAGGACCGACTAGACCTGACAGTAGGTTCCTCCAAGTTTCCCTTGCTTGGTTCCTTTTTATTGCTAAAATCAGGTCCAAGTGGGAGCAGGCAGCTGTTATTACACGTATTTACCCCGAGTGCCGCGCTTACGGCAACAAAATCTGCAGAGCTAGAGTAGGGGACCACGGCCTGGCTGAAGAACCACCTCCTGTCACCTTCCTGCACTGCACACATCAGTTCCTCCTCCGGTCACATACTCACCAATTTCACAGTACTTCCCCGTGAAGCCTGGAGGGCAGAAGCAAATGAAAAAGTTGGGCGAGTACAAGGCTTGCTGGCAGCGGCCCCCGTTGAAGCAAAGTGGCTTTATACAGCCTGTGGGAGAGAAAACAACAGCCGCTCAGTTTCCCCCTTCCACGACCCCATTGCTTTTCTTCCAGTCCTTGGGGAGGGAGGGGAACCATGACTCAGAGGCAGAACGCCTGGTTTTGTAGGCAGAGAAGCTTCCAGGTACAGCTTCTGGTCATCCCCAGCAGAAGGATTCCAAGGAACAGCTGCTGGGCATGGCTTTCTCCCAGCCCAACACCCTTCCAGCTAAACTGCATTGGGTGGGCCCATCTCAGCTGATC